AAATTTATAAATGTAGTCATAGCGTTTCCTAACTAACTTCCCCGAATAGGATTCAACTGAGGTTTTTCTACAACAAAGATACTAATAATACCAAACAGGTAAGTGGCTTTTTTTCTGAAAACGGAAAGGGGTTGTATTTTAACCATTAACAACCTAATTAAAAGGGGGAAAACTATTGTGAAAAGTCGCTACTTGTGCAAGAGAGTTGCAGTCTAACAATCACCTTCTCCTTTGGTGTCTTTTGTCCTACTTCTTTGGTCTATGGCCTATAATCTTCTGGAGGGTAAAGAAGGTAACGACTGCTTCTATGAAGGAGGAGATTCGGGCATGAAGAGCAATCCACGAGGCAAGCGCTAAAATAAGGATTCAACCCTTATTCCCCAGGCTACCTTATGGGTACTTTGGAAAAAAAGAAATATAAGGGCTTTTGAGGTCATAAAATTTACTTTTGATAGAGCCAAGGATATTTGGTTCTACATCCTAGGTTTTGTTATTAATAGTCATCCTTTTTATATTTGTGAGAACCTTGTGGACCTAATTGATATTTTCCCAACTTTTTAAAGTTTCTTAGACTGGCTGTATCCCCCTTAGCTCTTATATGTACTATTCTAATATTCCTTTTCGAGAAAAGAGGTACTAATAATCTTAACACTACTAAAATTATAGTAATGCTCCTAAGTATTATCATAATTTATAATAACATGCTTCTAAATAATCCAATAATTGTTGATTTAAAATTAATATAATTTGTAATACATTTAGCAATCTAAGATAAAGCCATTCTACATCAATGACACTCATTAACATAAAGGTCTTTATAATGGCAAAGAAAAGGGAGCCAGAAAGCCAATAGCAATCTTGGCTGCTAAACAAGTTGGACATTTCAGATTACTATTATCTTTTGTCTAATCAGAGGCGGCAAACGTTAGCAACTTCTGGTTGTAACCTTTTTTAGTGTTATCATTGGAACCCGCGAGAAGTGGCACAAGTTGGTCACATGTGGTTCCCCTTTCTTTGTAACAATCAAACTCTATTATCTAAAGTACCAATAGAGAGTAAGATGTTATATCATTCTACTATTAGTACGAGATCTGTCAGCACATTCTATCAATAAGAGCTAAGAGTTACATCATCCTTCTGAAAAGAAAGAGCAAAAAAAAAAACAATAAAAATAAAACAAAAACAAAAAATGTATAACAAGGTGCAAATAACATTCAACGTCTACTCTTACGCCTGTAAGTCTAAAGTCTTTTGGTTCTTGGGATGGTCCTTCATTAGATTCTTTTGTGGCCTTTATTTCATCTAAGCAATTTAACTTCACATAAAATGGGGATTTAAGTGGATTAGTGTCTACTTCTTTTCCTTAGCAAATACAGTACAGCATCTCAAGAACAATATGAAAATCTAATTTGTCAGATGTGACAATTTGAAAAATTCTAATATTAGATTATTTCTTTTTCATGCCTAAGTTCCTTAACTGCCATTTTCCATCATGTAAAATGCTTTTAGGTACTTTTCCACATATCTTCTCTCCTAGCTTTCTTGACTGCGATGGAAAGTCCAAAAACAATATTTTAAAAGCTTGATTTCATTATAAATGGATAATTAAAAATCTGTAAGAGCAACATGCTGTAAATACACAAAATAGTATTTAGATCATCTACTTGAACTGGCTAGTTATTAGGAGTTAGTGAAACTCTATCTGTCTATCCTCATTACTGATGTTTGGAAGAAAAGAAATATGTTTACCTACTGATTTCAGCACTATAACACTGAAACATTTCTAGAGTTGCTCCAAATTATCTTTACAAAGATAGTATGAAAATTGTTTTCTATTAAAAAAAATAAAACCTTCTTACCTTGCCCGAGTAGGGTGATCCCCCTTCATCTGGAGGAACAAGAGGAAGAACCTGCATACAAGCATACAAAATCAAACTCATCAGAAGCATAAAATAGACATTAGATGAAATGGAGGATCATTACTTTCAGCAATTGAAGGAAAGAAAATATACACCAATGCTGTAATCAATAGAATAATTGAACTAAAGAAAATGTATAACAATGCTGTAAACAATAGAATAATTGAACTAACAGAAATAGATATTTTTGTTAGATAAAAACTAACAGAAATAGATAATGGAAGCAAGAAACAAACATCACAAAAAATATGAGCAGCCACAAGTATTATGTAACGTATTTCATGGAAAAACATGCATATA